TCATTGTCAATCAATTCATGCATCTTCATCTACTATTGGTAGTAAACTGTGAACCGAGCGATGGTTGGCGTACTGTTACTGGTGTTGGGGTTCATTGCGCTGGGTTACAGGTCCATAACCATAACTTGTATCCGTGTTGACATCAGAATAAAAGCTGGCAACTGGGAAGAATTTTTCCAAGTTTCCTTTAATTGACAAAATGTATCTGTTAGTAAACAATGCGAATAAAGATTTCGTTGAAGAGTGAAGTAATCCGACATGAATGTGTGCAAAGTGTTACATAAACAGAAAACTTGCGTCAGAGCAACTTTATCACATAAGAATCAAATGTCTTCAACCAAGGTTTGTGGAAGGTAAACCAGAAGATTTTCTTTAATTTTTTACACCTGATTTCCTGTTTGTAATCTGTGGAAGCCATTAAACAGATCAATAAATAAAGAATACAAAACCAAGGAGTAACATAAGACCACGAAACCGGGACACCACATAACACACGTACAAAAAATAGCAAGGTTTAAAATTAACGACAAAGAGAAGAGGATGCTGGTAGTAATAATAAAAAATAACTAAATGTGATTGGTTTATTGAGGATCAGAGAACACGGACCGGCCTGTCTAAGCACGGTATGCAATGAAACAATATCCAGTGCGATTGGGGCCCACCTCGCTGATGCCGGGCACTAGACAGACAATGGTGCATTTAGTCATTTGCAAAGTGCTACAAAACAAGTCGAAGTACGTTCCGAAACGTCACTGGACGATGGCGGAAGCAGCAGTAATCAAAATCTAGAAGCCAACATTATGCAAACAGAAGAAACTGGCTGCCTCACCCCAGTAATCTTGGCCCTGCTCCAACCTACGTGACGAACCGAGCTATGGCCTCAATCATGTTGTCGTGATGACGCAACACGGTGTGATATGTGGCACGTGAAAAAACGATATCGGAAACTCCCAGAATTGACCTTGGTCTCGCACCCCCCCCTTCGCCACGTGCCCCTATAGAACTTAAGAGAAATTGTTGTTTTTCCCCACTGAACCAATCATGTTTATTTCAACCCTATATATGAACACCTATAACTGTAAATACCTGCAGATGAAATTACGAAAACAAGTTTGATCGCTACATTGTCTTTTGACATTCGCGCAGGTTTTTCGTGCATCCGTTTCATCCCCGATCTTACTGAGTACAATTTTGAAAACAACATTGCTTTATGCGACCACATGCTTGCTTTCAGGAGGCCGCGCCACTCCTGAAGTCTATCGTTTTCGACTAGTATCTTTATTTATTACACAACTGAATGTGATGAACAGCAGACGGAGCGAATCCCATATGTACGAGGAACTGCTGTACAGTGGTGGAAACCGGCAACCTAAGCCCCGGAACTTAGAGTAGCGAACCACATAAGGCCACTTAGGTTAAACATGATACTGAAACGGACGACAGTAAAGCTGCCTACCACCAAATTTGAGTGNTCGAACCTTGAACCATAGGGTCCAAAGCTAGCCGGTGACAGTGACGAAACCACTGGGCGAGATGCGATTCACACAACAGGAGAAGGACTGTAATTCCCCGCACTCTGTACGTGTGTGGGTTCTATAGTATGCAGTCGTTGAGTCCTGTTAACAAAGTGGTGGGAAGTACATGAATGGCGTGCAGTTCATTTCATTTTGTACAACCATTAACCACACATTAACTTGCGCTGATATTGGTTGCTATCTTTCGGCTGTCCATTTGGATGAAGAATAGGAGAATGAAAGGTTAAAAGTAGGGTCGAAGACAAAATTGAAAAGTTCAGTGGACTAATGATACAGA